GAGGCAACTGGAGTAAGTTGGATAAAACCCGTAACGATCTCATCTAAAAGTAATTTGTAAAAATCATTAAAGAATTTTTTTTTAGTGCGCATAAATATAATGTGCATTACCTGAGTGATTAACCCTAGATTCTAAATGATTTAAAGTCTTAGAAAAAAATTTAAATTTTATTATTTATATAAAAGACATTAAATGTCACCTGATTTCCTTGTAAGAAGCCAAATTCCACTTTCAATTCCTATTAAAAGTTCATTATTATAAATTCTAGATTTTGCAAAATTATTACCAATTTTCACATAATATTTCTCTCCGTATTCATTAAATGTGCTATTAATGATACTTATACTGACAACCGTCCCATCATAACTAATTGTACAGAACTCAGAGTTGTTTGCAAAAACTATTTGTCTAATGCTGTCATCAGAGGCTTTGTGGATGGTGATGTTTCCAGTTGATAAGTAAACGGGCGAAGAGAACTTGATGCGTATATCGGTCGTTGATGAATCGACACTAGAATTAATGGGCGGGGTAACATTGCTAATCATCACTTTACCGTAACTATCATCACCGCTAACTAAATAGATATTATAACGAATGATAAATAAGTAATTACGGAAAAGAAGGAGTTTTATGAATAAGTATTATGTTTATGATTGTGGCGGTTTATGCTGAGATCAGCTTATGTTGAGATTCGAGGTCCCTAATTAAATCTATAGTATCTTTTAAATCCTGACATACTTTTTTTACTGATAATACTAACCTTAAACCCTGTGAAAGAAAGATTACAAAGAGCCCCAAAAAATTTTATGATTTCATAAAAAAATAGGTCAAATTTCAGCATAAGCTGCCACAATGATTTATGTTCATTAGGGGGTTTCAGAGTTAACTTATTTCGAAAATAAGTGGGGGTTTGAAAGGTCTTATTTTTGGTTTGAAATTTCGAAATCAGAAAATGAAAAAGGAGTTGTCCGGAGATAAAATAAACAAACTTTTTTATGATGTATAATATGTCTTATTATATAAATAGGCTTGCAAATAAAAACAAATAGGATCTATAGATCGCTGATTATAAAATAAATACGTCGCTAATTTAATTCGAAATCAGAAACCTGAACCTTAGGTCTGAAACCCCCTATTATTTTAATTCCATCAATTTATAAATCAACTTTATACTCACCCCCTAAATTAATGCAAATGAAATCATGAATAGTAAACAAGTATTTATGTATAAGTATTTATGTTCATGATTTTAATTCCATCGCTTTATAAATCATCTTTATACTCACATGCTAAATTAATGCGAATGAAATAATGAATGGTAAATAAGTAAGTGTTTTCAAATAACCATCACGTGGAAATCAATAAAATTTCTTAAATTCCTTGTTTTCACAAATTGCCACCGAAAATAATATTTCAAAGATTCCCTATTGAATAATAATTATCTAGTATACAGCTGTTTTCAAAAAGATGTGGAATTTCTACTTAGTAAAATTAAAAACCCGATTAGAACGGGTCTTGAAAACTCTGGAAATTTGGGAAATATTGTAAATTCTCAATAGTAAAGTGATCTTCATCTTTCCACAAATTTTTGAAAACGACTGTAATATCTATTATGAGATCCTCCGGTTGATTGACAAATCGATAAAAATTTTTAGGTTTTTTTTTAACTATACTTTGAACGAAGTTAACCAATCATAGGTTTGCATTTGATATTATTCCCGTGTGGCTGAACAGAAAAACGCAGTAGTTCCATCGATTTATTAAATCATCTTTATACTCACGGTCTAAATTTATTCGAATGAAATAATGAATGGTAAAGAAGTATTTATAATTTTATGAATAAGAAAGAGTATTCATTAATTTCATCGATTTTATCATCTTTATACTCACATACTAAATTAATGCAAATGAATGAATGAAAAGTAAATAAGTAAATATTTATGAATTTATGAAAAAGATTATTTATGTTTACGATTTACGTTTAATTCTATCGATTTATAAATCAACTTTATACTTACTCCCTAAATTAATAATGAATGGCAAATAATTATTTATGGATTTTATGAAAAATAAGCGTGATTATGAATAAATATTTATGTTCATGATTTTAATTCAATCGATTTATAAATCATTATACTCACATGCTAAATTAACACGGATGAAATAATAAATGGTGAATAAGAAGGAGAATTTATGAATAAGTATTTATGTTCATGATTTAAAATTTGTCGTCTTATAAATCAACTTTATACTCACGCGCTAAATTAATACGATGAAATGGTGTATGGTAAATAATTATTTATTGAATTTATGAATAAGAGAGAGTGTTTATGTTTATGTTAATGATTTTAATTCCATCGATTTATAAATCCCATGGACCCAATATTATGGGAAAATTAATCGGGTGATTCAATATCAATATTTAGAATGCAGTCATCAACTCACCTACTGGTCGAAAGCCAAAAGTCGAGTTTAAATCATTTGTCATACCAGTGCAAAAAGTGGTAATATTTTTGTAAAGGATCATCTTATTTAAATTTGAAAATACACCCGGAACTGTATTTTCAGTATTATTTGGCAAATCTATACGGATTGAAATGGCGATTTGACCAAATTCGTCGAAAGGCTGGAATTTCTTATCCGAACTTAAACGCTCGCGCCTTACTGGTACTTTATCAGCAATCTCATCTAATAGAGCATCAATGTATTTTGACTGATCGATTATAGAAAAATTATTGGAGGCATCTATAGTGAGAACTGCTAAACCCGTAGCATCAGTATCTACAAGGAAAAATAATGAGAATCGTGTGAAGCATATTATACATAAATATGATATCAATACCTGAAGAACTCGCTCTATAGACTAAATGATTTAAAAGAATAAAAAGATAAAATATATGATATCGATATACTGCATTTAAAACAAATAAAAATACATTTAAAGTTACCTGATTCAAGAAACCAAACTTCACTTTCAATTCCCCTTAAAGGTTCGTTATAAGTACGAGTTTTGGCAAAATTATTATCAATTTTCACATAATAATTCGTTCCGTTCTCATTAAATGTACTATCAATGATACTTATATTGACAACCATCCCATCATTACTAAGTTTACAGAACGTAGAGTTTGCAAAAACTCTTTGTCTAATGTTGTGATTAGAGGCTTTGTAGATGGTGATGTTGCCAGTTGACAAATAAACGGACGAATGGAACTTGATGCTTATTTGGGTTGTTGATGAATTGATTCTAGAATTAATGGGAGGGGTAACATCGGCAATCATAATATTACCGTAACTATTATAACCACTCACTAAACAGATATAATAACGAATGGTAAATAAGTAATGTTGGAAAAGAAAGAATATTTATAAGTGTTTTGTTTATAATCTATGTTCATTTTTTTAATTCTATCAATTTATAAATCATCTTTATACTCACGGTCTAAATTTATGTAAATGAAATAATGAATGATAAACAAGTAGGTATTTATGAATTTATGAATAAGAAGTATGAATAGTCATGATTTTACAGTAATTCCATCAATTTATAAATCTTCTTTATACTCACCAACTAAATGCGGATGAAATAATAAATGGTAATAAGAGAGTATTTATGAATTCATGAATAAGAAAGAGTGTGTATTTATGAATAAATATTTATATTTATTTATGTTTATGATTTTAATTCCATCGATTTATAAATCATATTTAACTCACTGGCTAAATGCAAATGAACGGTAAATAAGTGAGTATTTGTGAATTTATGAATAAGAAAGAGTATTTATAAATAAGTGTTTATGTTTATGCTTTACAGTAATTCCACCAATTTATAAATCATCTTTATACTCACTTTCTAATTTAATGCAAATGAAATAATAAATGGTAAATGAGTAAGTATTTATGAATTTATGAATAAGAAGTATGAAAAGTGCATGATTTTACAGTAATTCCATCAATTTATAAATCTTCTTTATACTCACCGACTAAATGCGGATGAAATAATAAATAATAATAAGAGAGTATTTATGAATTTATGAATAAGAAAGAGATAAATAAATATTTATGTTTATTTATGCTTATGATTTTAATTCCATCGATTTATAAATCATATTTAACTCACTGGCTAAATGCAAATGAACGGTAAATAAGTGAG